AAGATTTACGGGGCAATAAAAGAAAGAGATTACTCACTGAATCTTCACCAAGATGTTGAGGTGAGGTTGAAGGCTCTTAATGTGGGGGTTGTTACAACTTGTCAGCCGTGCTCCCACAGCTGTTTCCTTGAAGCTTCTTGCACAGGACGATCCGACTCCTACACCAGCTGTAGCCACATGCGGGGGGCTCAGATTAAAGTCCTTTGCGACTGATATCTTGTACATGAAATATTGGGTGAACTCCTGTCATCTCCAGTGACTGGAAACTCCAGTAAGTCCTCTAAAAAAGCTCCAAAGTTGGTGAGATTCAGGGAGCCCTGAAAATCTCAACCACACCGTTGCACAGAAGCCCCGCCTCAGCAACATTTAAATGTTGAAGGTGATGCGGCTCAGAGGCTGAAAACTGGAAAACACGTGGAAACAAGAATGCAAGTTTAGAAGATGAGGCAGTAAAGATGAGCAAAATATAGAGGGAAAGGAAAAAGATAAAAGGGGGAGGTATATTACAGTTCTGGCAATGATGCCATATACAGAATGCAGAGGACTAGGACTTGCCCGTTCTGATACTTCAGCAATCCCTGAATTGGGGGACAGGATTTTTGGTAGCAGCCAGGCAACAAGGAGGGGCAGAGAAAATTTCAGCCTACATGCACCTTCATTATACTTGGATCAGAAAAGGAAGGATTTCCAATGACAGCCAGGACAATATGCTTACAGAAGACAAGCTGACATTACAGTTATCAAACAACGATTACATACAGGAATTTCTCTTTCACTGAAAGATGTATATCAGAAACCTAAGCAGGTATAGCCGCAGGAGGTAAGGGCCAAGTATGTGTGTGTGTTCAGGGAAGAACTGCCACCACCACCAATGTTCCCTCTAAGCTGAGTTAGTGTGAGCTAGCTCACACTAACTCAGCTTAGAGGGAACACTGACCACCACCCATCACCACAAAGGGCCTGGCAGGAATTTGAGGCATCCACCAAATTTTTCATTCATCAAGTAAATTCCAGTATAGGAATGCCAAGATCACATCTAATGGCAGAACTTGATGGGATGCCAGTCATGAGCATGTTACTAAAAACATCAGCTCTGCATTCAATTTGCCCCTCACATTGATCATCACATTGCACATTTCCTCACCCCTTTGCAGCAGCCAACGATGCAGAGAGGAAGTGGGGAAACATGTGACATGATGATGTCATGTTACACCTTTCTGTTAAAAAATGTGACAGAGAAAAGAGGAACTGGATGTGGAATTGTTTCTTGCAGTGTCACATCTATTTCCACCCTTTGGTGGCAGCAAATATGTCTCCATCACACAACAGGAATGTCAGCCAATCTGAGCTCCCTGGCATGCATACCTATAATAAATATGTGGATATAAATACAGGCTAGAAAAATGGACCTGCAAATAAAGAAGCAGGCTATATAATAGGATGCCCTGACCTGGGGAGCCCTGGCTAGCCCAATCTTGTTAGATCTCGGAAGCTTAAGCAGGGTCAGCCCTTTTCAGTACTTGGATGGGAGACCACCAAAGAAATCTAAGGTTGCTATGCAAAGGCAAGCAATGGTAAACATCTCTTGCCTTGAAAATTCTAAAGGGTCAGCATAAGCGAGCTGTGGATAAAAACTTTTTTATAAGCTTGGGATGAAAAGCTTATGTGCAATTAGTCAATAAAACATTTTTGGGCATGACTGCTATATTTTTTCCGTGGTATAATGATTCTACAATATAGAATATTACTCATCCAAGATATTGATCTTGTTTACCTTGGCTTTCAAACGAAATTTTGGCCTGTCAGGGAAAAAAAGCCATTCAGTGGGTTGACAAGTCATTTTATTGAATCCTGGAAGATGTAGATCAGGATTGTCAAGCTCTCTCTTTCAAAGGCTTGGAATTCAACCATATTTCTTTAGTAAGAAGATGACTGAGTTAAATGATTAGGTATTTTAACACCTGTTCCCATTAGTTATTACCTAGATGATCAGTGAGAATCTGTCTGAGGCCGTATACAGACTATTAAAATTTAAAACAAGTCAACTGAAAGAGTGGGAGATTGAACAAATACTGTACACAGCCAGTGACCAAGAAAACTAAGCTAGATGAAAAATTCACTTAGGCTGTATAGCATTCATCAAACGGAAGTGGTGTTACCAAAAAGGCACAGTGTGTCTGCTGTTGAATTGGAAGTTGTACAACACCAGCTTTTCTCAAGTCATCGCTCAGAGTGCCAAATCTCATACATGAGCAAATCTAACAGAAAACTGCTTAAAGTTAAAGAAAAGGTGTCACGGGCAGTTCAGAGGAGGAGAAAAATCATCCAGTTGAACAACAAAATGCAGTTATGCTTATGTCCTTCCTCCAGTCCCTGGATGTATGGCAACCACTGTTGTGATTTTAACAGGGAATACTGCCTTGGGCTTTGGTGAATATACTGAGTAACTCTCTCCCCCCCATACTATATGTACCAGCTCTAGGCCCCTAACTGACATAGCAGGTGGAAATTATTATGGAAAGATGAAAGGAAGTGATGTCACAGAAGTAGGTTTTCTTTTGGGGAGGACCAAACAGGAAGACAAAGGTGACAGCAACATGCTCTTGGATGCCTCTGCCCCGAACTTGGCATTTATGAAAGTCATATGGAGAAAGGTGTGTGTGTGTATTTTAAATGTCTGTTCTCATGAAAACAACAAGCTATTGAAAAAGGCTTCACTTATGCAAGTTGTCATCTCTAAAAGGCATGTCACTTTGCCACAAATGTCACTGTTAGGAAATTTCTTCCAACAGATAAATATCTGTGTCAAAGAAAGCATGTGTCAAAGAAACTTCCAATTTCCCCCTAAGCTATTCTATTTGGGCTGCCATAGGGGAGGGGACTGCGGTGGCTGAAGTGGTTAAGATGCTGAACTGCAGATCAGAAGGTTGGTAGTTCAGCAGTTCAAGACCCGAGTGCCACAAGACGGAGTGAGCTCCCATCTCTGGTCCCAGTTCCTGCCAACCTAGCAGTTTGAAAGCAAGAAACTGCAAGGGGGGGGGGGTTATAAACCCTGCCTGAATGAGCGTACTTTTACCATGAGTAACTATCTAATCACATCAATAGAGGAAAGTTTGCCTCTTCTTTAAAGATACAAACCCCCCTTTAAACTTTAAAAGCATTTAAAAGCTGAGG